AGAATTCTTCCCTGGCTAGTCACACTAGAAATAATCAAGTGTTGTGATTACAGTTCTTTGTAACTGCTATCCTCCAATTCTCACAGTATTAACTGTCTTTGAATATCACTTTACTTGACTTCAAAGTTTCAGTTATATTTATGATATTTCACATCTGCTGAAGATAACATATGGTTCCAGAACCTATTCTATTGAGGACGTTAAAAGTTTTAGATCATCAAATTCACCGTGCAGGAGGTTTGTCATTTGATGGGTGTGAACATGTAAGTTTGCAATCTTAAAATCTTCAGTTGTTTGTAGCCATGCGGCTTAGGGACTAGTTTTTTTAATTGACAGAGTTGTATTGGACTTTCATCCTGGTTCAGAACTACAACACTGTAGCACAAGAGACAGGATGATAGCCCTTTTTACTTCTTTCATTCAAAAGTTCTCATTGAAACTATATGAATTTATTGACAGTGATTCCCAGTTTATCCTAAAGAAAATAATTTTAATGTTCTGCTACTTGTGTCTTCAATGTTACATAGGTCCCCAAGACATTACCATATGAGGTTCTAACGAAAACGAGTGCACCTCCAAAGAGTGATGTACCTATCGTCACACCTAGTAATTTGCCCGAGGCTGATGGCTTTGTATTTGGCTTTCCCACAAGGTTCGGAATGATGGCTGCCCAATTCAAAGCCTTTCTTGATGCAACTAGAGGCCTGGAGAACACGACAGCTTGCTGAAAACCTGTTGGGATCTTCTACAGCACTGGATCTCAAGGAGGTGGACAAGAAACTATTGCATAAATTCTCCATCTTGGAGGTGGAGATGTCTCTGTGCCTTCTGTTGGATTTAGTTTCAAATGAAGGTTGGACCGACTTGTTGGCTTCTTAATTCATAGATGGAATTTGTTACTAAGATGTTTGTGTTGTCCATTGTCCTGAGTAATTTGTATGTTAGAGCTTTTCCTTGTTTTTGACCTATCGATGGGTGATTTGTATGCTAAAATATGAGTGCCGGTCAAAACAATATATAAGTTATGGATTCAAAAATTTGTAATAAAATTATTATTTTTTATGCAATTTTAAAATTTGTTCAAAAGGAGTATTCTCAATTCTGCCAATCAATTTACTTAAATTGCGCAAAAAAAAAAAAAAGACCATACGGCAACATTTTTTAAACGTTGCGAAAGAGGTCTACGACAACGTTTAAAAAACGTTGCCGTATCTTTCTACTCTACGGCAACACCTCGATTTGCAACACACGTCCAAACGTTGTAAAAGGTCTATGGTAACGTTTACGTTGCCGTAGGCTGTTTTTGTTGTAGTGTAATGTCATACGTTAGATCTTTCTCAAGATCTATCTTACAAAAATTCATACGACAAATAGATCGTACGACCAGCGAGTAATATTAGAGTTCACAGTAGGATATATAGTAGCTCTACTAGAGGAACATTACATCTCGCTATACCCCATACTCATTTTTCCAACATTGATTCAAGTATTTCTGATCCCTCGAATATTTATGGAACATACTTGAACCCCATATCATATCATTGTATTCACAATTATGTTCTATACCCTAAATTGTTAAACACAATTGTCCGGCCGTTGAATACAAATATAAATGTTGGTCAAAATAGTTTTCCTTTCTTACTTGAATCCTTCAATTTTAAATCAGTTGCTTTCTTAGACATGTCCCATCAAATCGAATCAATCATAGTTATTGGCAACATGTTAAAGTAGCAACACCGAAATAAAATCTCAAGAAACAGTCAAAAGTCATAAGGGTATATATGAGGTTATATAAACCTCAAGGTCTCACACAATGAGGAAGCAGGGATCCATCCACTCATTTACCCAATATTGGTCGTAAAAGTACACGTGGTATGAAACACGCGCTAAGATATTTTCTCCCATTCTTAGAGCATATGTCATATCCTTTATAAACAAATAACACCGTACAAATCCTAGTTCAGGTATGCCCTGATACCTAACTTGAGTTCCCCTTATATTTATTCCTCTAGATAATCTCAAATCGAGAACTCGATCTGGCTACTAAACAAGTTTAATGGATAACAAAATCCATTTCGATTACTTGTTATAATCTCATCTTGATATCTTATCAAGGTGACCGGATCACTACACAACATGATCACTTTGTCTCATCTCAACACACCCCAAAGTGTTTGAGGCGATTGTTCGTGTGAGTCAACCAATCTCAACATATTTGACATACTTTATATGTGCATGTAAAATATTATCTCGTAATCCGAACAATAGATTACAAATGAACTCAAAAATTTTCATTTATGGGCACATAAAACTTAATCAAGAGTTTTCTGATACGCTAAGTATCATATTCTACATAATTTTAGAGATTCGACATTATCGACAAGTACATCTCTAAACATCTTTAGAGTATGATGATTACAGACCATCATTTACGTAGATATATTGCAAAGACACTTTCTTTGCTAATGTCTCTCACATAAAAATATTATCGAGTGTTTGGTTCCATCATTATATTTGAGATCCTCAACACATGAGATAATTGCATAACTATCATGGATCTCATATTCACGACTAATATCATTAGATGTCCAATACACTATTCTAAACAATTTTTTCAGCTGTCACGTTATATACTACAAGATATCCTTAGTTGATATTTGCATATCTATTCCAATCACAAGTTATTCCCTCAACAACAAAATGGAATAATTGACAGCAATACCCTTCAGGTATCAAAATATCATTTCTAAGGACAACACCAATACCTACTGATTAGATCCATGGCATGACAAATATTATGGCATGTATACATTATAGTATACTTCTAACTCCTAATTGTACTAGATATGGTTCTCTGGATATTTCTTTGTGCACTTATGGAGTCCTTGGACATACATGAAGACTCATATGATCACCTTTCAACATAGGAGCATCAATAAGGTAGCAATTCCATAGTTAAAAATATTCTAGAATCTTTATGGTATGCAACTCTAATCTTTTTTAACACAAAATATACAATTTTTTTAAACCCATGTCCTTCCTCTCAAAAATTAAGGACAGCCATTTCAAAATGGTCTCAATACACTCCTTCTCATGCTACAAGTGTAACTAAGAAGTTACCACCATACTAAAAAAAAAACCTTCAACATGAAACCTACAAATCGATTCATGTAGATCTCTTCAATCGATTCTCAATTGAGAATGAAAGACAGTCTCAAAGTCTATTTGGTGTAATCCAACTCATATTGATTCTCTAAAAAATGAGCTTTATTTATAAACTCGTTAGTCTTCCATTTAGTTTTTAAGAACCTGAATATTCTCAATAAACATAATATCCAATTAGAACTTCCACCACATCTCAAATTAGATTGGAATTATGTACTCCATATATATTTCCATCACTGTCCTCAAATTTCTCCACTAATTTTCTAAACCAGTAATCATTGAAATTGAATAACTCGTAGATCCCACTCGGAACCAAGATCCATTGAAATTGGATAGTTCTTTGATAGCTTCCACTCGGATAGATAGCTTCCACTCGAAAACAGATTACTCCCACTTGAATCATAATTTTAAATCAACTCTTACGTATTAAAAAAAAAACTGATTCATCAATACACATAATATCAATTTCAATAATATTATCCAAAATTTTCTCTCTTACTAAGAAAAAACATGTCAAATGTCACATCTTGAAACCCGATATCCATCCAAAATCTCACTTAAGTACCTTTTTGGACTATTATGGTATCTCATAGATACATCTCGTTCTTAATAGACTCATGTTCCCAAACTCATTATTAAGAACTTACATAATCGATTATGAGTCTAAGACAACCCATATTTTGTCATCTTCATGTCCAAAACTTATACAATGCTGAAGGTACTAATTAGATAGAACTCCGTTAACTGATATATATTGTAGTTAACCAACACTCTTTCCAAAAGCAAATACTTAAATTTGACTGCATATCTCAAACCTCATCATATTCAGTTATCTTCCATCCTTCTACACAATACACCATATAATTATTGGTGATTAAAGAATAGTCAAGCAAATAAGGATTTCTTTCATTACATAGATCACCGATATCTCGTGATAGAGATTCACGCTATTAAATAGTTCTCAAAGTCTTCACTTCCATAATCCGATTTTCTACTCCACTTCAGAGAAGTCTAAATTAATACAATATTTTCAATTTAAGAAAATCAGAAGCACAACTAAGATGCGTGAATCCATCTATGAATGTAATGAAAATATAAAATCCATCCTATGTCTCAAGAAATTCGAATGGATTTACTCAATGGAAGTTTAACTCTTACAGCTTTGAATAGTTTTCTCAACTTAAAACCTCAAACCATTGCACAAATATCCAGAACCATAATTAAATATTACCACTGTAAGTACGAACAGAAATACCACGTATAAGTTCAAGTTAGAGACCATTCTTAGAAGAACAACTGAGATCAAATTTAGTGGAGTCTTTGATACTATCTTAATATCAAATAGGAGGTCAGTTTCTCTACTTTGCAACACTAAGTTGCAATATCAGTTATATAAACTTCCACTTCATCTTCATTAATTGTATATACCAATTTTGTATCAAGTTAAGGACTCGACAATAGAATAAGATACTTCTTGATCTCATATAAAATAGATTTCTAACCCTTGAATCCACTATTCACACAAGATAAGATCCAATATGTATAGTGTTGACACATAAACAACACTAAGAGGAAAATATTCAAGTGCAATATCCTTTAACTTAACCACTTTCGAGCTAAGAGATTAAAACCGTATAGTTTAAGCACTTGAACTTCTATAACATTGATCTTCTACCAAATCTACTATTCTTCTTGGTCCCTTTTCTAGTCTCTCCATCTATCCTGCATTTGTTCTAACTTATTTAATGCTTAAGATCCAAGTTTTATGCAAACTAGAACATTGCTACACAAGTGTATCCTCGAGACTTAGCAACATCAAGTCGCATGTCTTTTAACTCACATAGTGAATAGTTTCAATAGAGAAAATTGACACTTCAATTTGTAAGCCACATTGACATTCAAAATTTTCATCTAATAAAAAGAGACTAGTTTGAACTTACTACTCATCTAAAAAAATGTGACCAATAAAAAATGTCAACTTTAAACTAACCATCTTAGCCAAGTCATATTCGAGAAAAAGATAATTTATAACAGAACTTAACAATTCAAATGTTCAAACACAAGAATCTATCTTTTCTCGTACTTTACAAAATTTCGATCTTTATTCTCTAGAGTAGTTTGACCTACATAAGGTCTTCTATTGCGTGGTTGATGCTCTCTAAAACATCATGTCCGTCTAGTACACTCAAAATTTTATCATGCCAAATATTATTGCATTTAGCTTATCACCTTTATTAAAGTTAACTACTATAGATTTTGATGCCACGATCTATCAGTTTTTAGAGACATTTTATTCTCAATGAATGCACACTTATGCACATTCAATTTTTGCATTAATGCAAATTAACGTCTATGATAGTTCAACATTAGGCACGGAGTCGAAAGTTCACTATGTTCCCAATCATCATCTGCAATCCTATTGTTTCACTATCATAAACTTAATTTTATAATGCAAAATTACATTGGTTCTAAGCAAGAATTACATTAATTCTTCCAACTTGAGAACTCCCACTCAATTGGTGAATCAAATAGTTCTAGGTGAGATTTTCTCTAAATCTTCCAATCATCGAACTATCTCTCAACTGACATCAATAGGTCTAAGTAAGAATCTCACTAATTCTACTGA